ATTTTTTAATATCATTTATTTTTTTTTTATTAGGCGTACAATTTAAACATTTGAAATTAAAAACATAACTATCTCGAAATTAACATAGATGAAACAAATTTAAAAAAAAAAAAAAGAAAACATCTCGACTAAATCTATTTATACGAGGGGGCATTTGAAAACTATTGAGAATGGTTTGACAAAATATAAACCGTTTGACGGACGTCAATGAATTTGATTATCATTGTAAAATTTCTTATTGTGATGTCACTTTATATTTTTTTTTAATGAGGTAATAGCTCTTAAAATGACGTCAGAACCCTATGTGTTTTGTATACAGATCATAAAAATGACGTTAACAAGTAAAATTTACAAGTCAACCTTTGTTCATTACTTGGATGTACACTGACGGACACAACTGCCAGATAGGAAAAAGTTTATATCGACTATAGTCTATCAAACATGTATCATACTTAAGAAATAAAATATATTTTTTAGAGTTTCATTCAGATATGACATAAAGTTGGTCACGTATTCATTTATTTCTTATACTAATATTTATTTGTATTAAAATGAAAAAATGCACTATTTAGACTGTTATGGAAATCCAACATAACATACATGTACAATCTCATGTGACGTCACAGTCTAGAATTTCTAAATGTCTCGTGCGGTTTAGAAAGTCTGATCATGTGACCAACGTCATGTCATCGGGAATATTGAATGCCGATTTCGTTAGTATTGTCATATATAAGGAAAGACTTTGGCAATGTACATATTGAGTTATAAGTTCCTTTAGTTTGAGACATAGTTCTTAGTGTGTCAAATATGGCGTGTTATTTTCAAAACTTGAGCTAAATATTGGGTGAAAAAGTCGATGCTGTAAGAAAATGACAAATCTGTCAATTACAGAAGAATAGTTGAGAATGATAAAGAAATTGCTCACTACAGTACTACGGTAGCCTGCTAGCCAGAATCAAAAGAAAATTGAGGTCCAGAGATTTTTTTTAATTTCTTCATTTAAAAACTCTACAAATTCCGGGGGAAAGGTAGGTCCGGACACAACTTCTCTGGATCCACGTATGCTCTTCTTTTTCCATAAAGCGGGGGGTGGGGGGGGGGGCACAATTTCTCTGAATTAACTTGTCTTCTTTCTTTGCAGGCAAATGCAATGCTAGGAGCAAATAAATAGCTTAACACTCTTTTTTGCCATGGTAAATATCTGTTTTCCCTTCATGTTTCCCATAGGTACCAAATATCTTTGTTTTTCCTTCATGTTTCCAAGAGGTACCGTTCAGTCCAAGAAAAACACACATTTCAAAAACATAAATTTGATGAAACATACGTAAATTTCTTTTAAGCTCACCTGAGCTGAAAACTCAAGTGAGCTTTTCTGATCAACAGTTGTCCGTCCGTCTGTAAACTTGTCCATTTTCAACTTCTTCCTAAGAACCACTGGGTCTATTTTTACCAAACTTGATACAAAGCATCCTTCGATGAAAGGGAGATTACATTGTTGAAATGAAGAGTCAAGCCCTCTTACAAGGGGGGATAACCAAGAAGACAAAAATACGGTGGGGTCATTAAAACATCTTCCCATCAACCACTGGACAAGAAAGTTGAAACGTATGTGGAAGCTTTCTAAGGTAGTGTACAATCTAAGTTGTTCAAATCATGGCCCCCGGAGGTAGGGTTTGGCCACAACAGAGAATCAAATTTTATATTGAAATCTATAGGAAATTTTTAAAAATCTTCTCCAGAGCTACTGGGCTAGAAAAGCTGAAACTTGTGTGGAAACTTTTGGGGGGAAGAGTAGATTCTAAATTGTTCAAATCATGAACCTCGGGGGATTAAGGGTGGCGCCACATTAGAGAATCAAAGTTTTACAGTAAAATATATGTGGAAAATCTTTAAAAGTCTTCTCAAGAACTTCTGCACCAGAAAAGCTGAAACCTATGTTGAAGATACGATAGTATGAAGAATTAAAACCTCATGCAATGGAAGAGCTGGTCTAAATGGCTTCTCCCCACATGTAGAACCTTCATCATTACAATTGGAAATCTCTGTTGTTTCGAACTCAGTATCCTCTTTGCATATACACCTAGAATTATATGTATTTTTAAAATATTGTTTTATTAATGCAGCAAAACATTTAATAATATAACAAGATGTGTTTTGTGAAACACTGATTTCCCCGTATGACAGTTTATGGCCAAGGTTTTTCAAATGCGTCAAACTACAACGTCATAAATGTTAGTAAACAAAGAAAGGTCTTTTCACACGCACTACACAAATTAAATATGAAAGCTCTAGCATTATTTATTCTCAAGTGTTGGTCAAGGTTAAAGATTTTCAAAAAACCTCATACTCCAAAGTCAAGATCAAAGGTAAAACAGTTTGGTACCCAAGGCAATGTCTTGTCACAAGAAATGCATGTTTGAAATACGAAAGTCCTTGCACCAATTGTTCAGAATTTATGGACAAGGTTAACGGTTTTTAAAAGTATCTTAAACTTTGACATAAAGATCATGGAGTAAAAATACTTAAAATCAAGCGAAGGTCTTGTCACACAGGCCCGTAGAACGCGGGGGGGGGGGGGGGGCATAGTTTTATCATTTTATGCAAATTTTTATTTAGATGCGCGCAATGGTTGGAGCGTCTGCTCTAGAGTCGCGGAGGAAGGAGTTAATCCTTAAGTCGCGGGTTCAAATCCCACTGTGGGACGTGGAGAGCGGTCCTTCAGATGAGACCGTATAAACTGAGGTCCCGTGTCACAGTAGCTGCTGGTTAATATAATTAACGATACGTACAATGCACCTGACAAAAAGTACACTTTATACTTCAGCCTAAGAGTTCGGCAAATAAAAGTTGTTTTCACCACATTTCTTAATCAGGAGACTATGTTTCTGAACTATGCAATGCTCTAAAGTCTTTTGTGAACAACTTTTTATCTGCAATGATTTTGCAGTAGTAGTGACTTATCAGTGCAGAAGAGTGTGTCCAATAATTCATCAATTCAACCCTGCGAGGCACGTTCCCCAATTTTTTTTAAGCCGAGTCGTGCAGAGTTCTTTTAGATGTTGCACAGGAGCTTTCATGCTTTGCATGAGATATATTTGCAGAGCAGGTTTTTTTTTTCTGGGTCAACTCCTTGATTCCTTTCATTGTTTTTAACTTGATCATCATACTCTAAAATTAATAAGCCATCTCTGACCGTCGAACAGACTGCAAGCGTTCTGCAGGATTTGTATATAACTTATCAGGACAGCACCTCAAAGCCAAAAGGACATCACAGTCATCAATTAGAAATAAAGCAATCAAAATCAACTAAACAGGATAAGTGACCCTGTGGTTAGGCCCAAAATCTGAATACGAAATACAAATAGGTTTTCTCTGAAGCCCTTTAAATATGCTCACACTGTTTGGCGAAGATGGGTGGTCTTTCAAAATGGTACAAGCTTGTTCACGATAGAATGATTCATCTTAAATATTTTCAGGAACATCTAAAAGTAATGTTGTAGGGGAGATACACTTCATTCTAGTAGAACCGGTCACGGTAGCCTAGTGGTAGGCCAGGGGGTTCGCTTCGTGATCGGGAGGCCCGGGTTCGATTCTCGTTCTCCGTCAAACTTAAGACGTAAACAAAGGTAGCGACTGTTCCTTCGCCAAGCGCCCGGCATTAGAAGTGAAAGTCACGGGTCTTTCGCATATGACCTTAAAAATATAGGTCCCGTGTCACGGTAGGCGTTGGCATATTAAAGAACCCTTACTGCTCAATGACCCTGAGTGCCGAGTATAGGTCTAAATTTGAAGCTCTTCACCGGCATACGGTGATGTCTCTATATGAGTGAAAAATTCTAGAATGGGACGTTAAACAACATACAATCAATCAATCATTCTAGTGTCATAAACTGCATGAGTAGGTATCTGTTTGTACTACAGTGTCTGCCTCGAGTTAAGAGTGCCGAGAGGGGAATCAAGGAAAATCACAATTTTCCAGTACAGAACAGCAAAATTTTTGACATTCTTAAATACGGATGCAGCATAATACCCATTAGAGCATTGGGTACATTGAACCCGAAAACGAAGGTCAAGTTTGCAGTGCAAAGACCTATATTTGATCATGACAACGAACACACGGCGGGTGTGACCGGTCGGCAGGGGATGCTTACTCCTCCATGGCACCTGATCCCACCTCTGATGTTTTGGAGATCCGTGTTTACTCTGCTCCTATTTTGTATTGTTTACTGGACTTTTGAGCTTGAATACTGTTCGTTATCTCCACATATTTCATTTAGGTGTAAATATAGAAGGACAGTCTGTTTTGAGTTACTCAATATTGAAAGGGAGGTTTATTCACACGAACAGCTTGTCTGCGAGAAGTCAAACAGTAATGAAGCTTTTTAAGGTATATCGTGCACAATCGCGATCCTTCAATTTCGACCGAGGACTGATGAAAGGTTTACGTTTTTATCATCAGTTAAATACCTGAGGTGAAAATCACATGAAATCATCAATTTTACACCGTCTTGTCTGGACTGATTAATTGTATGTTGTTTTACGTCCCGTTCTAGAATTTAGAGACGTCACCATATTCCGGTGAAGGGACTCAAATTTAGACCCTTTACTCGACACTCTGGGGGACCATCGAGCAGTGAGGGTTCTTTATTGTGCCAACGCCCACCGTGACATGGGGCCTGGGTTTTTAACTCTCATCCGAAGGACCCACATTTCAAAATGCCAAGCGCTTGGCGAAGGAACATTTGCTAACTATTTTTATCGACTTAGGTCAGTCGCGGCCGTGATTCGAACACACGACCTTCCGATCACGGAGCAAGTGCTCTACCAACTGAGCTAACGTGACGGCTGTCTTGTATGGAACACCATTTTCATAAAATATGTATCAGTCAATATTCTATAACAAATTCTACCCCTTTTTAAACGACACCATCATCTGTTGCATATTAAAAATGTCTTTCACAGCAATGCTTGCCTTCATCTGATATTCTATTACGTTTCAGGCAAAATGGTACAGTACCTGATGGTGGTTTTTATGTCCGTCAATGTAATGACGTTAACGGCGATAGGATTTGACCGTTATTTCGTCATCGTACACCCTAAACGAGTAAGATCTTACAGGTAAGAAAAATTCCTCTTATATTGCAATATAGATACAATTCCACCAAAGTACCTTCAATATTCAACCACAAATTTCATTGATGAATACAACAGAAGACAAAAATACAAGCAGTAGGAAGCAAGTTTAAATTTAGAGTAAGCATTGCTTTCTACTTTTGAATTTTGTTGTTCTTACAAATTGAATTGGACAATAGCAAATCGGACAAAATACTAACAAAAAAGAAACAAGCAACTGATTCGAAGTTTTCAATGTCATCTTTATTCCAACTTAAAGAAAGAACTTTCAAGTTTTTTATTTACAGTTTAGCGTCTTTTTTAGGATTGAATCACAAGGTCCATGGGTCTCGAAGTTTACTTGATTATCATATATTTCTCAAGCTTTGCCACTGTGGCCCAATTATGGACTGGGACTCTGTACTAGTATAATATTGCAGAACTCTTGAAGTTTGGTGGGAATTTTTTTATCATTATAAAATCCATACAGCTTGTCTTTAAAAAAATTATTAGGTCTGCTGTGTAATTGATAATGCTTTTATTATATGACCATCTTAGTCCCACCCTGGGTCCTGACTACTGAAGCCGAATTGCACGAATATTTTACTTTCTGTTTAGGCCTACATGTTCTATATAATTAACCAAGAAATTCATCAGCTCAATATCCACGAGTAAATGAAGACTTTTGGAGATGTACTTTCCATAAACGACCAATAAATTAGCCCCTACCTTATTCACAAACCACGGGCAATGCTTTGGTAGATGTCTAAACGTTAATTAGGCTATTATTAACTTATTAAAGTCCAAAAGTAGGGTCTAGACCATGGACCGCAAGGGTATATTCGCAATATTTGTAGCAGGTTGAGTACGCATGATTTCAAGGTGCCTCACATTTCTGTAGATTTTGTAAGATGTCATTCATTTTAAATATGACCAACATACCCAACCAAGGAGCCTGATAAACGGTTTCCACAAAAATTTCTATATAAATCTAACCTAAAATATAGTCTAAGATGAATTAAAAAACCTGATTCACTCAATAAATGCAAAACCTGATTAAGGAGTTTAATAATAGACATTAAAAACGGATGAAAATGGTAATATTCCTGACAACCGTAAAAAAATCCCGCAATACCAGAGAGACGATCTTCACGATTAACATATGCTGTTACAGGGAAGTTAGGACGTTAAAAATTTGTGTGTTTGTTGGCTTGTTTACCTCCCTTCGAGAAATTTTCACTCATATTGAGATGCCACCACTTGCCGGTGGTGGGCTGCAAATTTATACCCATACTCGACACCGAGGGCCATTCAGACCTGTACTTGGCATTTACGACTTTTGGCAGCGAGGTATCTTTTTCGTGCCAGCGTCTACTTCGGTACAAGATCTCGATTTATTCGGTCTCATCCGAATGACCGGTTCCCACGTCACACAGCGGATTGGAACCCGCGATTTAAGGGTCAACTACTTACTCCGCGACTATAGAGCAAACACTCTAACCACTGCGCCACGCAGGCGATGGTACATTAATAATTTAAAAGGTAAAGATAACACGTTCATCAATCTAAAAAAAATGCAAACGATACAAATCGGTTAACAGGGTAAAAAACGAACCCCTGGGAGTTCCAGAGGTGATATCAGGTGCCTAGGTGGAGTAAGCATCCTGTTGACCGGTCATACCCGACGTGAACCCTGTGCATTGATCAGGTAGACGGAACATTCCGAAGTCAAATTTTTTAGAGATACAAAAGCCTAACAATTGGTATGAAATATGTTAGTCCCCCCCCCCCCCCCCGCAAAAAAAAAGACCTAGTGATATTTATATTTATTAACAATGTCAATATAATGACCATATAATGCTGACTTTAAACGAGGTTGTTGAAATCCCAGTAACATCAACTTATCTGTCATTAGCCTGTCTCTGTTTAAATGCACTGACGAGAATCGAATCCGGGTCTCCCGATGATGAAGCGAATGTCATAACTATTATTAACTGATAAAACGGCGTCCATATATCTGAATTGTGGAGTTGAAGGCCACCGATGTTTACATCCTCTCATGTAGAAGTTTTGAATAAAATCTGCATCGAAGGAATATAAAAATGATTTGTAACATTTTACTTGTTTTGTATTTAACGAGGCCCAATCTAGTATAAAATTATACAAAACAGACCGACAAATTTCTTGAATTTTAGATATATATTTCTAATTCAGACACTGAAAAGCGAATAATTATGTCGCTAAGCTATATATCCAACTTTAGAACAGGCACGTGTATCGTTTTTTTTTAAATAAAAAGGGGGGGGGGTTAGCAGAAAAATCTTTAAAAAGCAAAAAAAAATGTCAAAACTCAAACATGCTTATTCCTTCCCGGGGGCGGGGTGCGGCAAACAAATTTTAAATTCTTTTACAAAAAATGGGGTTCTGTGAATTTAAATGTTCATTCGATTGTTCACTTTTATGGCAATGTCTATCAGCTTTAGTAATCTTTATCGCATATAAGGTGTTTGCACAAGTAGGAGTTGTAGTCCACGTTCTTTACCATTTACAAAACTATATGTAAATCGGTTATATTGACACAAAACAAATCTACTTCAAGTTATTTTAATTCCAAACTCATAATGTAATATTTTCTACAAGAGCTTGTTGACACGATAGCTAGCGTTTCGGCGATAGTATTCACTGATAAATCCTCTTTGTTTTCTTAGTGGATTTTGTATTGGATGCCAGACAATATGCGGTGCTGTACAACTCGCTTTTTATTAACAAATACATCACAAACGCTTGATTAGGCTGCAATTCATAGTTACTTAGTTCATACTTTTTTCTATCCTGTAATAAGAATGGGCAGTTCCGGTGCGTGTCATTAACTGGTTATCAGAGAAGATTAATAACACTACAAGCATTAACCTGATAGCATTAGCATCGCTCCAAGATATCTCGAATCTTCTTTAAATCCTATCCATAAAGAAAATGTGTTTGAATTTGTTCAGCCTCTTTGGTTTTCTGGAAATTCAAAAAAAATGGATGCCAAAAACATATAAATGTCGTCTTTTAAAAAAAATCTTTTCATTTATTGGCAACGAATCCGTTCAGATTTACATTAAATGAATTCTACATATGATACATGATGCGATAGATATTATAATACTTAATTACAATACTTTTCTAAAACAAGAATTTTCAAACACCTGTGACCCTTAAGTAGGTTGGCTAAAGAGTCCTTTTTCTCCTTTCAAATAATGCGTTCATTGACACTCTTAAGTATTCGTCAAACGGTCTAGAATGAATTCACACTGGGGTTTTTTTACAACATGAAAAGTTTCATACACAAAAAATGATACAAATTATAATGGCCATCAAACATTGTTTTTTATTAGCTCAACTGAGCCGAAGCTCAGAAGAGCTTTTCTGATCGAAATTTGTCCGTTGTCTATTGTCATCGTAAACCCCTCCTCTCTAGAACCAATGGGCTAAATTCAACTAAACTTGACACAGCACATTCTTGTGCAAAGATTATCCAAGTTTATTAAAATGAAGCCATGCACGCCATTTTCAAGGGGAGATAGGAATTATTGAAAACTTCGTGACATCTCAAGAACCACTGGGCCAGAAAAAAGAAAGCTATTTGAAAGCTTCATTACATAGTGTAGATTTAAGTTTCAAGTCATGAGCCCTAGGAATTGGGTGAGGCAGGTGATCAAAATTATGCATAGGTACATACATGTAGGAAAACTCTTTACATTTATTATCAAGAACAAAGCCATGATTAGTCATATTTATATTGAAGTATCCTCAGGTTGTGTAGAATTGAGTTCGTTAAATCAACCAAAGAAATCAAATCATGGCTTCTGGGTAGGTCGGGACCAAAATAGGAAATCAGTTTCCTTAGGAATTAACGTACAGAATTTTTTTTCCAAATCATGTTCAATTTTAATATCATAAGCCCAGGGGCGAATGTGACAACAATAGTAGATCCAAGTTTTATTTAGGAATATGTACGAACAATATCTGTTTTGGTCCGTCTTTGTGCAACGTTTCATTCGTAAACTTTTGAACATTTTCAGCTTCTTATATGGAACCACTAAATTAGAGTTGCTAATTTTATAAAAATGACATGTTCATTAACTAACATTTGTGAAATAATTGTTGTGTTTTTATTTGCAGAACTCCTCAAAACACGTGTTACATTATCATAGCTCTTTGGGTGTTCTCCTTCCTCGTTTTTTCCTGGGTTCTTCTGGTTGTGCGGGAAGTCAAAGCGTTTCGTCCCATTTGTCTGGAGGAAATGGAAGATGACGAACGGAAAGCTTACGCTGCTTGCATGTTTATCTTCTTTTATCTTATTCCACAAACATTGGTTGGATTTTGTTACATCCAGATTGCTCAAAAACTACGCGCGCATTTGAGGCGTGGTGCCCGATTAAATCAGGCGGCACTTGTCACGCTGAAAATAAGAGGTAAAATAGTGAAGATGACATTTGTCGTTACCCTGGCATTTGCAGTATGTTGGCTACCCCTCCACGTAGCAGCAATAATGAATTCACTTAACGTTCCAGCGACGACATTTTCTTATCATTTGCAATTATTTGCGCCATGCTTTGCTTATGTCACAGTGTCACTTAATCCAGCAATTTACTGTTTTATGAGTAAAACTTTCAGAAAATTTTTGAGAGCTGCATTTACCTGTAGAACAGTCTCGTTAAACTCTGCCATGCTGGGGGAAGATGCTGAATTGATTCCAAATAATCAGGATATGAGCAACAGCAGTAAGCATTGGGAACTTAGAAGCATTACCAACAACCACGAGAAATCATCTCATGTAAATGGATCTATCGATTGTACTTTGAACACTCAGACGGAAACTTCCTCCGTGCCCGAAAATTCGGATTGCGCTATAAATAATTTGCTTGAAAGTTCGTCCCCACAGGACAACCTTGTTGACAAAGAATGCCAAACAGAAAAGACTTGTATATCTCACACAACGAATATGTGATTATAGTTTTATTTAATATATGTATTTTCTTTTTTGAGGAGCTTCATTCAGCTCAACAAATTACCAGCATGAGAGAAAATATGGTCCTTGACGATCACTATTTAAATTTCTAGAGGACTTAACTGTTAATAGTTGTTGGTTTGACGCATCATGTACTCATTTTTAATTACATATTGTTGATTATATTTGAAATTTTAATTCAAAGATTTTGAAAAATCGAAATAAATATTTCTCAACGTAATATGTGTGCAGTGGCAATAATTTCTGATTTGGCTATTTTCAATACAGACGATTGAAAAGTTTATTACTTAATGTCGAGTCGGCAGTAATTTTCAGCCTGATTTCGGCGACTTTTTTTTGACCGTTTATGTTGATTTATATAAAATTTCTCTAGCGGCCCCAAGTGAGCTTATTTTTAGATCACCTGAGTCACTCAGGTGACCTATTGCTATCTCTTTTCGTCTGGCGTCGTCCGTCGTTTGTTAACATTTGTACATTTTCAACTTTTTCTCTGAAAGGGATGAATCAATTTCAACCAAGTTTGGCATATAGCATCTATGGGTGAAGAGAAACTAAATTGTTAAATTCATGACACCTGCCCCCCTGGGGCCTGAGGGGTGGGGCTAAATCCATCAAAATTAATGCAATACTTAAAAAGGGTTCTGGTGTTAGGGTGGCGCTCTGTTGAATATAGTGAAAATGCATTATTTCTTTAAAAGTCTTCTCCTCTGTTCCTGGGTGTTCAGCAAACAAACTAAATACATAGTTCTGATGAGCAATGGTAACTCTGCCAGAATTGTGAATTTCATGGCCCTATGTCAAGGGTTCCGATTTTAGGGCGAGGATCTAATGATGATATATTGAAAATGCATGAATTCTTTGAAAATCTTCTGGTTTAAGCAAACAAACTAAATGCATAGTGATGATAAGCAAGAGTGTCTTTCCAGAATTGTGCATTTTATGGCTACTGCATCAGGGATTCTGATGCAAGGGCGGGACTCTAATAATTACATAGTAAAAATGCATTAATTCTTTGAAAATCTTCTCTGCTCCTTGGATTTAAGCTGATGATCTAATAATTGTATAGTAAAAATGCAATAATTTTCTTAAAATCTTTTTCTCTGCTCCTGGGTATTTAACCGATGATCCAAATGCATAGTTATTGTGAGCAAGGGTGCCTCTTCCAAAATTTTGAAAGATGTGGCCCCTAAGACGAGGGTTCTGGTGTTAGGGCTGGGCTATAATGATGATCTAGTGCAAATTCATTAATTCTTTGAAAATCTTCTCCTCTGCTCCTTGGTATTTGGCAAACAAATGTATAGTTATGATTGATTGATTGATTTTTGTTGTTTTACGCCGAGTCGGCCGTATTTCAGCCATATTTCGCCGGTATGAATTGAAATACTGTATGAACGGTTTTGAAAGTTTTTGGAATTTTCTGGCGGCCCTCAATGAGCCTAATCTTTTTCGGAACGCATAGTTATAATAAGCAAGGATGTCTTTTCCAGAATTGTGAATTTTATGGCTCCTGAGTCAGGGGTTCTTATGTTAGGGCGTGTCTCTAATGATTAAATAGTAAAAATATTAATTCTTTTTTAATCTTCTCTGCTTCTTGGTATTAAGCCGATGAACTAAATGCATAGTTATGTTAAGCAAGGGTGTCTCTTCCAAAATTGTAAATTTTATGGCCCCTTGGTCCAGGTGTTAGGACGGGGCTCTTATGGTTATATAGTAAAATGCATTAATTCTTTGAAAATCTTCTTCTCTGCTCCTGGGTATTAAGCCGATGAACCGAATGCAGAGTTATGATGAGCAAGGTTTGCCTCTTCCAAAAGTGTGAAAGACGTGGCCCCTTGGTCAAGGGTTCTGGTGTTAGGGCGGGGCTCTAATGATGATATAGTGAAAATAATTTTCTAAAAATTTCCTCCTCTGCTCCTGGGTATTAAACCTACTAACTAAATGCATGGTTATGATGAGCAAGGGTGCCTCCTCCAAATTTGTAAAAGACCTGGCCCAAGGGTCAGGGGTTTTGTTGTGAGGGGTGGGTTATTTCTGTCATGAAAATGCATTAATTCTTTCAAAATCTTCCCTGATCCTTGGTATTAAACAAACAAACTAAATGCATAATTATGATGAGCAAGGATGTCTCTTCTAGAATTGTGAATTTCCTAACCCCTGGGTCAGGGGTTCTGGTGTTAGGGCGGGGATCTATTGATGATATAGTGGGAAAAAAACCGCATTAATTCTTTGAAAATCTTCTCCTCTGCTCCTTGGTATTTACAAACAAACAAAATGCATAGTTATGATGAGCAAGGGTGTCTTTTTCAGAATTTTGAAGTTCATGCCCCTTGGGTCAGGGGTTCTGATGTTCGGACGGGGCTCTAATGATGATACAGTGAAAATACACTTTGAAAATCTCCCCCTCTGCTCCTTGGTATTTAGCTGATTTACTAAATGCATGGTTATGTTAGCAAGGTTGCCTCTTTCAAAATTGTGAATTTCATGACCCCATGGATACGAGGGTTCTGGTGTTTGGACGGGGCTGTACTGATTATATAGTAATCAAAGTCAAGTGAAGCAAATGAGAGTTACTTCCCTTTGCTAAATTGCATTAATTAAGACATTCTAGTATAAAATTTGATAATCACGTTATTTGATTGAATGAAAATACTAGAAAGAATGTTATATATATAAAAACAAAATAAAAATTAATGTTTGGTGTAGATGATCAAAGCATGCCCAAAGGCGGATTCTTGTCTGTAAAGCAATATAAAAGATTGACAAAAAGATTATTGATGTTTGTTGTAAAATAGCCAATTGATCAAAGATGTATTCTATGGTGTCCTGTTTAACAATTGTTGAGTTATTTTCGGGTGAAATGAAGAGACTGCATAAAGATGTATTATATTATATTTATGCTTTATTATAGTAACCAAGTGATCACAGAGAGGCAGGGTGACTAGGGGTTACGTTGTTTGTGACAAATGGCAAATAGCCAAATGTATAGCCAAGTGGCTAGTGCTGGTAACAGGTATTACCAAGCTGTGTAAAACCAACAGGCAAGTGTTGGTACGAAGTGTTACCAAATGGCAGGCACCCAAGTAATGTTTGTGGTAAGAGGCATCACTTCGAGTAAATATACAGGCATTAGAGATTTTTCTTTAATTGTAACACTAGGCAAGTGACAAACACACACACACACGCATATATATATATATATATATATATATATATATATATATATATATATATATATATATATATATATATATATATTGAAGACTTGGACAAACCAAATACGATCCCAAGCATATTACAATAAGCAAGGCTATTCGCAGCTCTGCCAAGGCTCCATAAAAGGGACGGGGCCTAATTTATACGGGAAATATTTACTGTGACATCACATAAATATAGAAATTCCTTACAATAACTGAAAATGAAATAATCTGCGATTTTAAACTGAATAAGAGTAATGAACTACATCAAAACTTGCCACTTCCTGAATTTTTGTCGCTAGTTAAATCCAACACAGCAAGATATAAGCCAGTCACTCTGATCGCAATGCACTTGTCGACATGACGTCACCATGGTAAAATTTGATGCATTTTAAGTGCAGTGAGAGGTGGATCAAGTAACTTCTTACAGTGAAAAATGTATTTTATTATTAAACAAATTATTTGTAAATCTAAGGTAGACCATTAATACAAATCTGAAACCTTTTTTTAGTGCGATAATTTAAAAACTATCGAGAGAATGTATTGAATTAATTCTACCGTGTTTATGTGTACAGTGTTTGCATGTTTCACGCCGAGGTGCATCATTAAATCGCCTTTTCGCAAGAGCATACACTTAATAGATCTAGACCATTTTTTGAATATACATAACGAAAACATTCCTTAACTTGAAAAGTGCTGCTTATTTCCTTAAATCGAGAGCATAACTTAATGAATACATAAATACTTGGTAAAGGTCACGCATATTTCGACTAGAGGCAAATAACTTGACTATCACGTGAATTGTCAAATAACGTGACCAAACCAAATTCAGTACAGAGCGGATAAAGAATATTATTCCAAATAATTTTAAAATGATGTTTTAATATAGTAGCTCTACAAAAATAAATTTAGTATAAAAAGGAATATATTTATGTATGTTTCTAGATTTTGGGAATTCTTGGGCAACATGGATTCATCTATCAGTTAATTTTGTTTTATACTTCTATGGATCCTTTACAATGTTGTATTAAACTCAGGTGACCGTTAAGGCCCTAGGGCCTCTTTTTTTTTGGAAAACCTTAGAAATGCTCTTTTGTGTGTAAAGGAGGTTGCAATCTTTAAACGTGGCACCATTAAAGTCCCATCCGACGGACTGAAATTTCTAAGTGCATCTAAGAGAACGGTCATTTGATTCTAAAGGAAGAAGGGGCAGATTTTTGAAATAAATAATATCCCGACAAAATTTTAATTATGTCCTCCACTGGGAAGAAAATATATAATTTAATTACCCAGAACCTTCACAAAATAGAGTCATTGGGTTTGTACAGATTTACCTTTTTTATTGCTTGTCAACTTTTACCAGGTAAAAAAACAATTATTCTGTCCCTGGTTGTCTTGGAAAAATTATTCTGTCCTGCGATAGTTTGCAAATAAATAATTTGTCTTGACAAAATTTGCCCCTCTCCTCGGGAATTAAATTGTCGGCTCCAATACCTGTCTACACATATTTACTAAATTACATGTACTTAATTATGTACAATCATCTTAATCTTATTTAAATTTCAGTTCCGTGTAAAAAAAAATCTAATACTTGTTTTTGTTAGTAGTTCATGCATCGTTTTGCAAACTAGGCATAGAGTCAGTATAATTGAAGGACATTCCATAAATATTATACACATTGTTTGTCTGGAGGCTTCACTTGTGGTTAAGTTCAGTTATAAATGATAAATAATTTAAGAAATTAATCATTTAGTATATCTCGCTACTATGAATTATCATGTTGCTCCTCAACATATTTTGAACATTGTAGCTGAATATTTTCACTGTTTATCAAAATATAACGCGAAGGGGATTCTCAGTTTGTTACTTTATAATATATCTCTACATTGACATTAATTTGATCATTGCCATCTTGATTTGACTGCGATTCACTTGCATGTTTTTGTGATTTAAGGATGACAATTACTCTAATGACCAAAACTTGGATGGGACGTTAAATGGTTCCCCTCGTCAAGGGTACGGTAAC